GAAAAAAAATGCTAAAAGATTATGCACAAAAAAAATCTGCGGTCAGTTTAAGATACTCAAAACTATTACTCAATTTGTTAAAGTGTTCTTTATGACCCAGGATATGGCGAGCTTCGTAAGTATAGTTGACCTTTCCTTTGACCTCCTTTGAAACTGGGGCCCTCCTAACCCTCGTGACCTGCTTTGACCTTTCCGCGGGGCTGGCTGACCCCCCACGGCGGCACTGACTATGATACGCTCCGCCATTCAGATTTTCGACGTTGGAGAGAATGGGAGAAAGAGACAGAGGGGGCGAAAGAATGAGAGGAGAGGAGGGTGAGAGAGAAAGAAGGAGAGAGAGAGACAGAGGGGGCGAAAGAATGAGAGGAGAGGGGGGTGAGAGAGGGAGAGGGAGACATGAGAGAAAGAAGGATAGAGAGAGAGAGAGAGTTGGGGGGCGAAGGAAAGAGAGGAGAGTAGGTGAGAGAGAAGGAAGGAGAGAGAGAGAGAGAGTTGAGGGCGAAGGAAAGAGCAAGTGAGAGAGATAGAGGAGGGGCGAAAGAAAAATAGAAAGGAGAGACAGGAGAAAAGACCAGTTTTAGGCCTTTATCTTACAATTGTGATTTGTATCATTGCTATCGTTTGGTCTAGCAAAAAATAAATAAATAAATAAATAATAATAAATAATAAGGTATTTTATATATCGACCGTGACGACCAGTTTTTGATTCAATACAAATGGTTATTTTCCACAAAGACAACAAGTATGAAGAAGAAAATAACATCCATCAGTCGAAATTAATTCTTGTTGATCCTTTCCACGCATCATTAGAGAGAGAGAGAGAGAGAGAGAGAGAGGGAGAGAGAGAGAGAAAGAGAGAAGAAAGAAAGAGAAAGAGAGAAAGAAAGAAGAAGAAAGAAGGAAAGAAGAAAGAAAAAAAAGAAAAAAGAAAAGAAAAAAGAAAAAAAAAGAAGAAATAAATAAAACACAAGCTGCATACGATGAAGATCGGAAACACGCTTCTCATAGATAACACACCTTGTACCGAACGAAGAAGCCCACAAGTCTTGGCATCTCCCCAAGGCGACGTGTCCGCAGACCCAGACGTGGGCGGCGATCTCTGTGGGCGGAGATGCGGAAAGTGAGAGCGGCTTGCGGGCGGCAAGTTGGTCGCTTCTTACATACATACATATATGGGAATATTTGTATTTATTAGTGCATCTTTAGATAGATATGTACACGTAAGTAGACATACACACACTAATATATCTATATCTATCTATCTATCTATCTATTTATCTATCTATCTATCTATTATCTATCTATTTATCTATTTATCTATTTATCTATTTATCTATTATCTATCTATCTATATATATGTATCTATCTATTTATCTATCTATCTATCTATCTATCTATGTATGTATGTATCTATCTATCTATATATCTATCTAACTATCTATCTATTATCTATCTATCTATCTATCTATCTATCTATCTATCTATCTATCTATCTATCTATCTATCTATCTATCTATCTATCTATCTATTATATCTATATTTTTGTGTGTGTATGTGTGTCTGGATGTGTACGTATGGTGTGTGTGTGCAGAATAGTGGTGTGTATCAGCGTGTGTACGTGTATGCTTAAGCGGGCAAGCTTAAGTGTGCGTGTGCGTGTGTGTGTCTCCATTTGCGTCTCCGTGTGTGTAAATGTGTTTCAAACTTTGTCTGTATATGACCCGCCCGCCCCCTCCCCGCCCCCTTCGCCCCGCCCCCCCCCGCCCCTTTTAAGAGGAGCTCATGAAAATAAAATGAATTATAAACCTCTCCCTGTCTGCTTTGGCTTCCAGACGCGGCTCCGTGTTTCAGATATTATCCCGCGAGCTTCTCGGGTCTCTCCAAGATGCTCCTCTGACGTCTTGGGAGAAGAAAGAAGGGAGAGAGAGAGGGGGAGGGAGGGAGGGATAAGAAGAGAGAGAGAGGAGGGAGGGAGGGGGAGGGAGGAGAGAGAGAGAGGAAAGGGGAGGAGGGAGGGATAAGAGAGAGAGGGAGGGAGGGAGAGGGATAAGAGAGAGAGAGAGAGGGGGAGGGAGGAAGAAGAGGAGAGGGGAGGGAGGGAGGGAAAAGAGAAAGAGAGGGGGGGGGGATGGAGAGAGGGGGGGGAGGACAAAGATTGAGAGAGAGGGATGGGGACAAAGAGAAAGAGAGTTAGAGAGAAAGAAAGGGAGAGAGAGTTTAGAGAGAGAGAGAGAGGAGGGAGGGACAAAGAGAGAGGAAGAGAGAGGGAGAGGAGGGAGGGACAAAGGAGAGAAAGAAGAGAGAGAGAGAGGGAGGGAGAGAGAGAAGGAGAGAGAAGAGAGGGGGAGGGAAAGAGAGAGAAGAGAGAGAGAGAGAGGGAGGGAGGGACAAAGAGAAAGAGAGAGAGAGGGAGAGGGAGGGAGGGACAAAGAGAGAGAGAGAAAGAAGAAAGAGCAACATATATAGACAAAACTGCAAGACCTAAACAAAAAAAAAAAAAAACTAAAACTAAACTAAAAAAAAAAAAAAAAAAAGACACACAGCATTCAGGTGATCCCCTTTTGCAAAACACCCTCCCTCCCCCTCCTCCCCTCCTTCCTTCCCTCCTCCTCTCTCCCTCCCTTCCCCCCCTCCTCCTCCTCCCTCCCCCCCCGGCGTGACCTCGTCTGACCCCAGCTGGTGGCAGTGACCGATGAGAGACAGTTATGTGAATACGCCATCCACGGGACTGCCTCCAACACGCTGGCTCGAGAGGTCGTGCTGGGTGGCGCTGGACGGCCGGGTGGATATGTGGGTTGGGGTATGTGGGTGGGTGGGTTGTGGATGGATATGAAGGTGTGTGGATATGTGGTTGGGTATTGGGTATGTGGATATGGTGGGCATTGGGTATGTGGGGTGTGTGGGTATGTGGATGTGGGGTGATAAGTGGATATTTGGGTGGGTATGTGAATATGTGGGTATTTTGGTGTGTGTGGGTATGTGGGTTTTGGATATGTGGGTATTTTGGGTATGTGATATGTGGGTATTTGGGTGTGTGGGTATTTGGGTATGGTGAATATTGTGGGTATGTGGGTATTTGGGTATATGGATAAGTGGGTATGGGATATGATAGATCAGCACGTGGTATTGGAGTGTGGATATGGAGGTGGTATGGGGTATGTGGATAGATGGGTAGGTGGGTACGTGAGTGAGTGGATAAATGGGTATGTGGTTAGATGGTTAGGTAAGTAGATGGATAGGTGGGTAGGTTAATATGTGGGTATATTTGTTTTGATCTTTATGGGGGTATATGTGTATGTGGATATGTGTATTTTGATCTGTATGTCTGTATGTGAGTATATGTGCGTGGATATGTGTTTTCCAGGTTTCCATGTGGATATGCGTGTGTGTGGATGTGGATATGTATCTGTGTGGATATGAAAGTATGTGTTTGTGTATTCTTGCATGTATGTATGTATGCATGGGTATGGGTGTATATGTGCGTATGTTGATATGTATATAGATAGATGTGCGTGTGTATGTTTTGTGTATGTGTGTATGTGTGTGCGTGTGTGCGTGTGTGTGTGTGTGTGTGTGTGTGTGTGTGTGTGTGTGTGTGTGTGTGTGTGTGTGTTTGTGCATGTATTGTGTGTGTGTGTGTGTGTGTTTGTGTGTGTGTGTTGCGTGTGTGTGTGTGTTGTGTGCGTGTGTGTGTGTATGTGTTGTGTGTGCGCCCGCGTGCGTGCGCCAGAGAAAACAAAAAAGCAATAAAACAAACAAGACTATCAGATGCACCTACATACGTGTACGCTTCAGTGAAATATTTCATTTTTTTTTTTCACATGAATGTTTTGCAACGATGACGCAACCGCGAGAAAGCTCCCTCGGTACGTTGACATTGCAAAAAAATGTTTTTCCTTTGCCGTGAGGATAAGAGAGGTTTTGCATTCTCTTGCATAATTCATGCGGTGAAAAGAGAAATGAAAACACGGATAGAGGGAGAGGAAAGAAAAATAAACATGATGTGTTTGTGTGTTTGTGTGTTCGTATATATATATATATATATATTATATATATATATATATATATATATATATATTATATATGTATATATATATATATATATATATATATATATATATATATATATATATATAGAGAGAGATAGAGAGAGAGAGAGAGAGAGAGAGAGAGAGAGATAGGAGACGATGTGTATATATATGTGTTGTATGTATATATATTATATATATATTATTATATATTATATATATATATATATATATATATATATATTATATATATATAAGACCACACACAATATATATAACTTTATCCATAATAATCTAGAAAAATATTAAAAGGTCTATAAATCAACAATTTTACAACATTGTGTAACTTTCAGCACCTTTTACGTTCTGCAAATCATATCTTAAAATACAACACAAGCACTTAAAAGCCTACGTCAACTTTCTACAACAGGGGACGTGACCTTTCGATTGACCTGATACCTGACCCTTACTAGGTCAAGCTGCTGCTGATTTTCCGGGTGTGTTACACTTGACACCGAAGGAACCATCGTTAGTGGCGTGAGAAAAAGGCTCGGTCTAAGTGGTGGTTTGGTCTGAGTTCTCGTTTAATTTATTTGTCTTTTTTTTTATATTTTTTCTTATTTTTTTCTCTTTCTTTTTTTCTCTCTTTTCTTCTTTTTTCTCTTTCTTTTTTCTCTTTCTCTTCTCCTCTCTCTCTCTTCTTTTTCTCTCTTTCTGTCTCTCTTCTCCTGTCTTTTCTGTCTCTCTGTCTCTCTCTTCTCTCTCTCTTCTCTCTCTCTCTCTCTCTCTCTCTCTCTCTCTCTCTCTTCTCTCTCTTCTCTCTCTCTCTCTCTCTCCCTTTCTCTCTCTCCTTTTCTCCCTCCTCCCCTCCATCCCTCTCTCCCTTCTCTCCACCACCCACCTCTCCCCAATCCAAAACCCCCCAACCTCCTTTTTTTTTTTAATAACCCTCCTTTGTTCTCTGTTCTCCAGGCGATGAACGAGTTAAGTGATGAGGGAGGAGAGACTTCCTGGCGCCAGTATTGTGAACATCCCCTCACTGCTGCCACAACTGCTATGCTGAACATCCACGGGGCCGAAGAACAACAACATGTCACGCTTCTGGACTACTACAAACCTGATGGGTAAGTTCTTCTCATTTTCTATTTTTTTGTTTATAGTTTCGTTATTTTTTGTGTTTTTTGATGATCTGTTATTCGTTGTGAGGTTGTGGTTTTTGTTTTTAATTATTAGGGGGGGGGGTTGTGGGTCTTACATTTGTGTGTGGGTTTTGTTATGGAGTTATCAGTGTGTGGGTGTGTTATCTGTCTATGTATAGGGTGTTATATATTATCTTATATATGAGTTGTGTAATATATTTCTTTATATATGGGTTGTGTTATATATTTCCTTATATAGGAGTTGTAACATTGTTATTGTTATCATTACAATTAATTTTACTATTTTTTATTAATATTAATATCATTAATGTTACTATCGTTATTATTGTTATTATTATTTATTATTATTATTATTATCATTATTATTGTTATCATTATTATTTATCATTAATTTATCATTGTCATTTCTTATTATTGTTATTATTATTATTATTATTATTATATTATTAATTATTATTATTATTATTATTATTATTATTATTATTATATTATTATTTATTATTATTATTATTATTATTATTATATTATTATTAATATTATCATATTATTATTATCATTGTATTATCATTATCACATTATAATTATCATCATCAATATTTTATTATTCTATCATTATGATTATTATCATCAATATCATAATTATCATATTTTCTTTTTATCATCATTATTATCATAATTTTCATCATTTTCATCACTATGGTTGCTGTTATCATTATCTTTATTACTACGGTTACAATTAATTTTGGTACTATTAATAAAATCATTTCTAATATCATTCTCATTTTTAAATCACTTTTGTTATCATAATTGCTATCATTATCATTATTGTCTTAATTAAGAGGCGATATAACAATGTGATGATTATTTTCTTTTTAATTAAAATCTTATCTTCATTTTCTTAATGATTTTTTCCTTATTCTTCACTTCCCCTTTCTCCATTTCTGCATTTTTTCTTTTTTTCTTTTATTTCCCGTTTTTTTTTTTTCTCCTCTCTCTTCTTATTTTACTTTGTTTTGTTTTGCTTTATTGTGGCGCGTTTTTCTTTCTTTTTTTCTTCTTTAGCTTCTGTACTCTCTTTGCTCTCTCGCTGATGGTATTCTTTTCTTTTACTTCTTCTTGTCTTCTGTGTTGCTATATATGTTCTAGTTTGACGTATATATATGAGGAGTGTATATATATATAGCATATAGTGGAGCGTTTTACAGGGGGCTCCTAATATGTGTGGAGAATCCCTTGTTCTCTGTTGTAATACGACGTGTGGCCTGTTGTGAATGATCGCTTGTTGTTTGTCGGGATCTGTGCGGGGTCCTCTCTCCTGCTCTAGGAGTTATATATATACTTCTTCTTTCTAATCTTCTTATTTCTGAATTTTTCTCACTGATTTTATTACTTTTTGGCTTCTCTTTCTTTCTGCTCTCTTATCAATGTTTCTTCGTTTCTTCTTTTATTGCATTTTTCCTTCTCTCTCTTCTTCCTCTCTTCATTGCTGTCGTTATATCAAGTCTCATAGATATAGTTATGTTGTAAGTAGATCTTTTCTTACTTATGATTAAGTACGGCCTCGCTGTGTGTCGCGGAGCGGTGAGCGGCTGGTCGTATCGGGGGTGGGGAGATAGATAGGGCGAGGGGGATGTATGTGTGGTGATATAGAAGAAGGGGGGTGTGCAGGCGGAAATCTGGACGTGGTAGTAGGCATCTCTTTGGTGGTGTAAAGTCGATTGAGGTCGCTCTGTGGTGTCATGTGATATGTTGGGTAGGATGTAGTCTGATATGCTCGCACTCACGACGGGATGTTGTGCGTATTGTTGGATCGGCAGTCAGTTGAAGTGTGGTAGACTAATCGATGTGGGCAGGCTGTATGAGAAGACGAAGTTATGTTTTTGGGAGATAGATTGGATGGATAAGTATAATATTCTTGGGCAGATAGAGTAGATAGATAAGATAGATTAAAATAGATATTTGGGTAGATGGTAGATAGATAATGAGATATGTAAGATGTATATTTAGTGTAGGGTGTAGGAATGCAGCGATTGTGGAGGAGTGTAGGCTAGTAGAAGATGTGATAGTGGCATATGTGTTGATAGCGCGTGTAGCATTTGATAAAGCGTTCAAGAGTGTTGGTATAAATAGAGTTACGTTGGGTCAGCATTGATAGTCTCCGAATGGTAGGATAGCATGCGCTCGCACTCTCTCTGGGATTTTAGAGAAGTGTGAGAAAATGTGGAGTTGACTCGTACTAGACAGATAACTGATAGTTATGGTGGGTGGTCACTCACGAGATGACATTGGCTCTCTTAAGATATTACGCTAGATATTCTGGAGCCAGATCAAAGACATTAGATAAGTAACTATCATACATGATGGTGTGCAGTAGCTAGAAGTCGATAGATGAGATAGATAGGGTAGATATTTGGGCAGATAAGCTAGATTAGTTGGATCGAGAATGATAAGCTGATGGGCAAAGGAGGTATGAGGGAGCCGTAGAGCACGAGTTAGTGACTCGAGAGAGGAACCGTACGTTCTTATATATAGAGGTTTGTTCTCGATAGGTTAAACGGAGGATGATGTGGAGTAAGATAGAGTAGGGTAGCACGCGTAGAGCGAGAGTGAATGGCAAGTGAGTACATTGGTGTGTTGTGATACCGGTGTTAATAAGAGCTGGTAAAAGGGCACAGGGCTCACAGTAATGTATAAGCTGTGTGTTATATTAATGATTATAGATAATGTTGTCGGGTGTAGATGTGAATTGGTTGCAAGCCGTACGATTGCGGGAGAGAGATAGCTATACAACCCGACGACTGATGTGTAGTTATTGATACTCTCGTCTCGGGTCTCGTGGGTGCTCAAGATTGGAGTATAATGTCAGCGCCAGAGGTCTATTTATACGCGAGGGAGTGATGCTGATAGACACAGCAGCGGTGTGGCTGAATAGATATGTCTGGCGAGACTAGAGTGAGGATTGTTGGACGAGATAGATTAGGAGTGGAGGAAGGTGATGGGATCGGGTGTTGGGTCAGGAGATGAGAGTTGGAGGCTGGGTGGAGCAGATGAGGATGGAAAGTGTAGATGAGGGTTTGGCAGGGATAGAGACTCGAGATAGGGAGTGATAGGTAGGGTATGTTGGCCGAGTGGGAGAATAGGGTACCGACAATGCTTGTACTTAAATACGATAAGGATCAGTAGAGCTCTTTTAGAGGTACCAAACGAGCGGATGTGTGAAGGGACACAGATAGATCAGTGATGCCAGAGTCATCTAGTTTGGGGTTACGGATATACTAGAGAGGACTTAGATACGAGGTGGGTGTGAGAGTATAGTTCAGTGATGACATGGATACTGCGATATGCGATCATATGTAGTTGTGTGGGGTGTGGCGTATCGGGCAGGGATCTATACCCGATCCAGCGTAACATAGTATTTGAGGTTCACGGAGTTCGCCCTTTCTTGACGGAAATTTCTAAGTCTTCCTCTCGCCACCCTGACTCACGACCCTCCCACACTAGACTCTCGGAGCGATGCACCTAGATAGCACTCTCTCACAGTCATACCTACTCTCTCGCCGCCGCAGCATACGCATCTCCCGCACCCAACACACACCTTACGATCAGCAGACTACTCCAACGCGGTAGATCAAATACGATACATACGATAGACGAAGTAGGATCAGACTAGACAAAACTGATCGAACGATGAGATCGCCTACGGTTAGACTATGAAGACGTGTGTATTTGATGGTGAGAGCCTGGATCGATATAGATGATTAATGCTGATAGATAGATTGAATCGTGTAGATGGAGATCATAGAAGGGAGCTGGAAGAATAGTGGTAGACTCAGTAGGAGTGGTGTTGTATGAAGAAGTTGTATAAGAGTGATAGAACTAGGTTGGAGTGATTTAGCAGGCTGAGAGAGTTCTATTGATGCTGAGGTCTGAGTTATAGAGCGCGGGGTTTGTGTATTAGGTTATAGCTGTGGTTGAGCGTGGAGAGTCATGGATGTGTCACAGTTGCATAGATAAGAGATTTAAAGCATAGAAGATGATAAGATAGATGCAGAATGTAGCTCCGCATCCCAACCAATTACTATTATACACCCAAGCAACCAAGTCAAACCAGCTGCCTATGTATTAGAGCGCTTATTGGACCGCACGTGTTCGAGGGGGTAGAGGAGAGCGTATGCATAATAAGTAATTGAGCTTTACATCTCGAGAGCACACACAGATTGGTAGTGCGATCTTGTAAGTCTTCCTGAGATATTGTTAGGTCGCAGTGTGTGAACAATATATAAAGTTCTCAGAAAGACAAAGCTGTTTAGAGAAATTAGTTTAAAAAAAAAATGTATAAGAGAGAGCCGATTATCATAACTGTGGTCTTTTGTGCTTTTTTCTTTTTTTTTTTCTTTCTTTTCTATTTTCTTTCGTATTTCGTTTCATTAATGTGCGATTGTACTGTCTGAAGATTCATTTTTATTTTTTCTCTATCTCTCTTTTTTTCTGTTTCTTTTTTTTTGTTAATTGAATCATATTCTTATCTTCATTATTTCTTTTATTTGATTTCTCTTTTTATTTTCTTTTTATTATTATTCTTTTAGTATCTAATGGGCTCTTCTGTGAACCTTTTCTCGGTGTCGATGATTGATCGGGTTTTGTGAGAACGAGAATTTGAGGTCTAGAATTTTTCGTTTGTTTTTTTTGTTTTTTTTTGTTATTCTTGTATTTATTTGTTTTGGTTTATGTGTCTCTCTCTTTGTTTTGTTTTTATGCTTGTCGTTCTCATGGTTTGTTTGTGTTTCTCTGTGTTTCTGGTTGTTGTTTTTTTTTTATTTTGGTTTTTGTGGTTTTGTTCTATGTCTTTCTCTTTTTCATTCTCTCTCTCTCTCTCTCTCTCTCTCTCTCTCTCTCTCTCTCTCTCTCTCTCTCTCTCTCTCTCTCTCTCTCTCTCTCTTTCTCTCTCTCTCTCTTTCTCTCTC